CCCCCGCCCCCGAGCCTCCGCCCCTTAGCCCCCGCCCCCAGCTGCCAGTCCCTAGCAGCTCAGTCCTGCAGTGAGAGTCTTGGGAGTCCATAGCTAAGCACCAGGAGCTGAGCTGTACCCGCTGTGCCTGCCTACACATCTCCGACATGGCTCAGGAGAAAATGGAGCTGGACTTTGAGCCTGACACATCTGATGGGGGCACCCTGAGGAGATCCAACAGTGCTCCCCTGATCCATGGGCTCAGGTGAGCAGGATTGGGGAAGATGGAGTACAGGCTTCAGGGGCTCCTTGACCCCGTGCAGGCAGTCGTCCTTCCCTAAACTGCGAGTTCCAATTCATTGGCGCTCTCCAAACCGAGGCGGTGGGGACTTGTTTGCTTGTCCGGGACTTGGGTCCCAAGATGGAATGAAAGTTGGGCCCCAAACTCTGGGCAGTGTGAGGGAAACGGGGCCCCTTCTTCCTGGGGCCATGTTGTCCCACTCTAAAAGGAGCTGCAGAATGCGTCTGGCTCTTCGCACAGGTTGCTTGCCTTGCCTAATTTACACCAGGGAATGTCAATCTGAAGCCCCTGGAACTAGACTTGCAACTTGACACCTGTCTCTAAGAGCTGCTATTTCTAAGCTTAGTTTCGGAACCCTGGCATTAGCAGAGGTTTACTTTAATAAATCACAGTTTATTTAATAACTTGTAATTAAATGGTGTGTTCACATCAAATTAAGTGATTGGGATTTGTCATAATGTGTTCAGGTTCTAAAAGTGCCTGAAATGCATTTCAGTGAATAGAGAAAAGGAGGGTGGCCTATAGCTTAGGTCAGTGAAAAGACACATTTTGGAAGACAATGGAAAGGATCGATCCTTCAATTTTAGTGCCAGGGGTTTGTGTTTTCATGTGAACAAGTCTCCAGAGGATTTATTTTTAAGGTAGAATCATGCAATAGAGAGGTTAGGTTGGCTTACCTCCTGAGCCTGTTGCATTTTGCTTTTATAGGTAGTTCATTTTAGGTAGGGAGCCAATTTGTGAGACTCTGTAGAAATGGCATGAGTCTGAAAAGAGGGATGGGAGTAGAATTAGCCAAAAACAGTAATCAAGCAAGCAAAAGCAAAGAAAGAGGTAATCACTGCCTATTGAACTGATTATAGTTTCTGGATTTTGGAGATAAAAACAGGTTTACTTTTTTTCTTTTATTAAATACAATTTTAAGCTGAGGCAATGATAGGATGAATTTTTACTTTTCTGTTGCTGCTCTTGGCCCAACATGTAAAAAATATACTTTAGGAATGAACCTGGCTCTTTTTGGTTGCATTTTGAAATCTGGTAAGCAAGCAATTGCTAGGGACTTGGGTGATCCTGTTGACCTGCATTTAGACGATTGTAGAAAAAAAAAGTCTGTTTTGTGAATCACAATTTAAGTAATTACTTGAAAGGTAGCATGATGTGACAAGGAAGGGTGAGGAGACCAGGTCTGATCCCAATTTTCACTAACTAGCTGTGATCATGAATGAGTCATTTAACCTTTCTGAATCTCTGTTTTCTCATTTAAAAATTAGTAGAACCGAATGCAGTGATCTCAGTGGTTCCTTGAAGACCAGTTCAGTTCAGCCTTATATATTTTTTAAAGATCTATTTATTTGAAAGGCAGAGTTACAGAGAGAGGAAAGGGAGAGGTAAGAGACAGAGAGAGATCTTCCATCTGCTGGCTCACTCCCGAAATGGTCGCAAAATGGCCGGAGCTGGGCGGATCTGAGCCAGGAGCTTCTTCCAGGTCTCCCTTGTGAGTGCAGGAGCCCATGTTCTGCTGCTTTTGCAGTTCAGCCTTGAAAATCCTTCTTGAATTCTTATCATGAATTAACTCTCTGCTAGGCACTGTGGGGACATTACACAAAGATGAATAAAACACCTCCGAACTGAGAGCTTTAAGACCTATGCACACTTTTGTTTAATACAAGATAAAGTAGGGGCTGGCGCTGTGGCATAGAAGGTTAAGCCAGCACTACAGGTGGCGGCTTAATATGGGCCCTGGTTTGAGTCCTCGCTGTTCCACTTCCAATCCAGCTCCTTGCTAATGTGCCTGGGAAAGCAGTGGGAGATGACCCAAGTTCTTGGGCCTCTGCACCCAACGGGAGACCCAGAGGAAGCTCTTGGCTCCTGGCTTTGGCTTGGGGAGTGAACCAGCAGATGGAAGATTCATATTCTTGCTCGCTCTCTCCCCCTGCATCCCCCTCTCCCCCTCTCCCTCCCTCCCTCCCCCTCTACATCTCACTTTCCCCCTCCCCTTCTTTTTCTGTATCTCTGCCTTTCAAATTAAAAAAAAAGGTGAAGTAAGTAGGTATCACAAGAAGCCGCTCATCTGCCAGTCTCCCAGTGTGTTCTTTGGGTTCGGTGGAGGAAAGGCATTCAATTTGTGCAATGAAGGAAGGTTGTGCCGTCCCTTCACAGAGGGCACGACATTTGAGATGGGGTGGAAGGAGAGGACGGATTTTGACAGATGGTGGTAGGAGGGAGAGTGTTTGAAGCAGAGGGGACAACGTGAGCAAAGCCTCAGGTTTTGTTTATTCATTCGAGGCGCAGGGAGTCAAAGGTAGAACACGTGCTTAGGCGATGTGCTGATTAAGTCTCTTGTTAGAGAACAGGGCTCCCCAGCCCTTTCCAGGTCACGGTAAATACAGAAACGGGAATATTCATAGGTCCTCTGAGGTAAACAGATGAGGCTGCTCATATCTGGTGGTAACTGGTTTGGGGGCGTAGCTCTGACCAGAGGCTGCTGGAAGCAACCAGCCTGGAGCTCCGCCCCACACATCCCGGGAGCTGCTCCCCAACTACTGAGGAGCTCAGTATCCCGGCGGGCGGCAGACCTGTAATCCACAGCACACCGGGCGGGAAGCTCTGCGGAGACGGGACGCTGAGGCATTTCCTCTGTGTGGGAACTGAGGAGCCACTGAAGACTTCCTAGAGAATTGATGCGAGTGTAGTTAAATGAGCCCTTCGACTAGGAGACATTAACTATTGTATCTTTAATTTTCAGTGACCTTTCACAGGTCTTTGAGCCTTATACTTTTAGAGCTCGGAGGAATAGTGCTTCAATTATGAGCCATCACAGCTCGGTAAGTATCAGAGTAAGTATCTGAAGCGATGTAGGTGGAGGAGAACACTTGCAGAGGCAGTTCTTTTGGAAGATTATGTGCTACATGCAATGGTGTAAAAGACACTGATTTTTACCCATCTTGTTTACTGCTTATGCTGTGGCCATTCCGCTTTTGGTACACAGAGAGGAGACTCGATTAAAAGTTTTTTTTTTTTTCTTTGCTGTGGGATTTGGTATTTTTTTTTAAAGAACTGTTCATTGTTATTTGTCACTGTTTGCATCATGGTTTTGAGGTAAGTCAGGATTCACTTTGAATTATAGCTGGGAACAGTGGTCTTTATTTGTCCCCGGATATAAAATCACTTGAACAGTCGCACGTGTATGTTTGTGACATTGATCAGTTGGACAGTGCTGGTTTTCCAAAGTCAAGACTCCTTCAAAGTGTTTGTATT